TGCGTCCGCATTAGCGGCGCACTTCGCTTCTGTATTCGCAACTAACCAAACCTGCGCGCCAAGCTCTGCCGTCGCCGCACCGACTGAGCTAACCGACTTCATCTGCGACGTCGCGGAGGTACATGGGCTAGTCAGCTGCCTAGACAGCACGAAGCCAGCTGGACCGGATGGTCTCCATCCGCTGATCCTCAAGTCCTTGTCAGCTGTGATCTCACCTGCTGTAACCGACCTGTTCAACCGATCCCTGTCCGTAGGCTGCGTGCCTTGTGACTGGAAATGCGCCGTTGTCAAACCGATTCCAAAAGGCGGTGACACACGCAAAGTGGAGAATTACCGCCCTATTTGTTTGACCGCAGTATTGTCGAAAGTTCTGGAGAAGATTGTGAAGAAGAGACTGCTCCAGCTATTGGAGACCAACTCTCTCCTGACGCCTGCACAGCATGGTTTCGTGAGAGGCCGCTCGTGCATCACTAACCTGCTGCTAACATGGCATGAATGGTTGCAAGCAGTAAACCAACGTAAGTCAGTCGACGTGGTATACGTCGATTTCAGTAAGGCCTTCGACAGAGTGAATCACGAGATCCTCCTTCAGAAACTGAGGGAGTGCGGAGTCGGAGGCTCGCTGCACCAATGGATCCGTGACTTCTTAGTTGGACGGAAGTGGAGGGTGCAAGTCGACAGCCACCTGACCGACTGGTACCCGTCGACGAGCGGCGTTCCTCAGGGGACGGTGCTTGGCCCCATTCTCTTCCTGATTCACATCAACGACGTGCCCAATCTCCTTCGGTCGCCGTGTGCCTTGTTCGCGGATGACCTGAAGCTATGGAGGGTGATCCATACGTCGGACGACTTTGACATACTTCAGCAGGACCTCGACCGCCTCTGCATGTGGTCCGCCGAAGTAAGTTTGCCTATCAACTCGGCAAAATCGCTACTTCTGTGCCTCGGTAAAGGTGGAGCGGGCCGATCGTACACTCTCGACGGCCAAGTTCTACACCCGACGCATTGCGTCAGAGACCTTGGCGTTATACAACGTTACGACATGAAGTCACTGGACAACACGGACAATATGTATCGCACAGCATTGCGTTCGCTGTGGGCGCTGAAACGTAGCTTCTGCACCTGGTCGAAAGAGATTGCCACTCGTCTCTTCACATCCATTGTACGACCGGTGCTAGAATACGGCTCACCCGCCTACTGTCCGTTGACGAAAGGCGAGATACACAAGCTCGAAAGAGTACAACACATAGCCACACGGCTCATTCCCGGTCTTCAGGGTGTGCCGTATGAAGAAAGATGCAGACAATTGGGTCTGTATACTCTAGCCTACCGCCGCGTGCGAGTGGACCTCATCATGACCCATCGGGTATTGCATCTGGGTGCTTATCCGATGCTGAGGCCACTGCTCCATGTCCGTGCGTCAAGCAGCACACGAGGTCACCAGTACAAACTGGTAGTCCCTGACCTCAAGTGGGTAGCTCATCCCTTGTGTCTTGAGCGGCGAGTGGTGAACATGTGGAACCGTTTGCCCTCGCGGATAGTAGAAGCGAACTCGGTGTCGGAATTCAAACGATTCCTGGACGCGCACTTTGTGGATGCCAGATTCGACGAAGTCTTCACAGGAAACTGACGAAGGAATCGTTCAATGATTATAACCCATGGAGCCCGTTAATCCACCAACTGCAGCTTCCGAAACGATGCCTATCCGTAATAGGCGGCGGAGCTGGTGAAGGACTCCATGTGGTTCATCCAAGAATATATGGTAAGTACATGGAGATTTTTTCTATGCTTGTAAATATTTTACTTTTTTCACCTGGGCTAGCTCACTACTACAGGTAACACTGTGTCAGTGGGACATGTCCTACATTGAGATATAGCTACATAGATGTTCAACATCTTTCTCGCTATCATGACAGTATCAGTATCAGTATCTCTTTCGGCTGAAGAGATCTGGAGGATAGACGCTCCCAGGTAATATACAGGAGAAAAAGCGGAAGGGCGGGTAGAAAGGACGCGAACATTTCGAAGCGTTAAATGGAAGGTTATTTTCTATGGACCACTGATGTAGACGGTCGAGGTTCGTCTGAAGTGCGTGGGCATCGTCCGGAAGGTTAATTGTGCGCCACAGCTTGGCGTCATCCGCATATAGTAGCAGCGAAGACTCCACTTGCGGTGTGACGTCGTCAATGAAGACTAGGAAGAGGTGCGGTCCGAGAACATACCCCTGTGGAACTCCGCTTGTGGCAAGGATGCGGGGAGACAACGCTCCGTCGACGCGTACTTGGAAGGTACGGTTTTGGAGGTAGTTCCGGATCCAGTCCATCAAGTCCCCTGAAACGCCGTAAGATGACAGTTTCCGCAGCAGAATCTTGTGGTCGACCTTGTCGAAGGCTTTGGCGAAATCCAGGAAGATAACATGCGTTTCTTGGCCAGAGTCGGCTGCAGTCGTCCAGCTGTCCCTGGCAAGTAGCAGGTTACTCAGGCAAGACCGTTGACGCCGGAAACCGTGCTGGCAATCAGAGAGCAGTTTCTGGGCCTCCAAGTGATCCGTTAAAGCGTCTGCGACGATCGATTCCATCACTTTGGAGATCGTAGATAGGAGAGTTATCGGTCGGTAATTGGCCGGATCTTTGCGAGTACCGCCTTTGTAGATTGGTGTAATAGTCCCACATTTCCAATCATTGGGAACTTTGTTTTGCAAGAAGTGTGTGAACAGCTTCGCTAGGGGTAAAGCTAGAGATGCAGCGCACGCTCGCAAGAGCCGTGGGTGGAAACCATCAGCGCCAGGAGAGGCCGTTAGCCGCAGGGATTTGAGTTTCGCCAGGACCTTCTCCGGAGGGAAATGAACAGTCGTCAGGGAAGTTGAGTGAAACCGAAGAAGGTACCGTCGTTGTGTGCAGTGATGGAACGGAGAATGTGGATGCGTACTGCTTGCAAAGGACTTCTGCTGCCTCGGTAGCTGATTTCGTGAGCCCTGTGGGGGTCGTCAATGCAATGACACGGTGTTTGACTTGTCGAAGACTATTGACGTGTCTATACAAGGCTTTGGGATTGGATGAAAATTTACGCATAAGTTGACGCTGGTGTTCACTCTTATCTTCTTGTACAAGATGGACGCATTGGTTACGGATGGATCGATAATATTCCCACTGAGTGGCCGTTGGATGGGAGCGATAGTTTCTCCATGCCGTGTTCCTGGAGGCAATCCATTTCCGTGTACGACTTCGGATGAGTGCTGGGCGTCTCTTCCCTATGGAAACTTCTTTGCACGTCGTCGTAGTGGAGCAGAGTTATGAGCAGAGTAATGAGATTAGGGGCAGTCATTGAAGCTCAAGGAAATTCGGAAAACAGGGCCAGCCAATATTTGTCCTCCACAGTTTCGCATGTTAATAGAGCAGAAGGAAGTTTATTTCAAACAGGCGCAACTTGGTTTATGAAGAACCTGGCTCTTAACTCCAGCCTTGATCTATTTTCAATTTTCAATTTATCAATTTCATGCAATGGCCCTGCTAGTTGTCTGACTTAGCTGGTTCAAACAGATCAGTGGGCTTCAGACCACTGAGAATTTTCATGATTTTGAACGTCTCTTTTAAGTCACCACTCAATCTGATTCAGATGGGATTGGAACGATGGGAAAATCCATTAAGCCTTTCTTCTTGAGCGGATGCTTGAGCCAGGAAATGATAAGGTGCTACGTCTTTTTGAAGCTAGAACGAAAAACTCGAACCACACCCTGGTTTGAAACTGTTCAAACCGAGGAGTCATCGAGCGCGATCCAGCCTGGCTTTATCCACACGTGTTGTGAATGACTGGAACCGCCTTCCGGAGTCCATCGCTGATGCCGAGAAACGTTTCAAGCATTTATTGGATTCGCTTTTTAGTTTAGGGGGATCCAGCTGTTTCCAGTGCAGCTTCAGTGGTTGTCTGTGGGACCTGGTTCCGCAATGACTTAGGCTATCTCCGCAACGATCGGGAAGTGACGTAGCTGACAAAGAAAGTTCCTTCGGTTCTCTATCATCCAAAAAAGAATTACTGCCCACATTCCCTGCAATAGCAGTCCCAGCTGTGTTGCACACGTAAACTAAGGGGAAGGTAAAGGAAAATTGAAGATAAAGAGGAAGGAAAATCATTTAAATGAAGAATAACACCAAAGAGCGAGGAAAATGACAGAATATTGAGTTCATTGAGTTGTAGAGAGCAGGAGGGAAATCCCTTGTCATCCTCATCGATTCCGTATTATACTGGGTTTGATGCGTGTCGATGCATGACGACTTTCCTGAGGATTCGTCGCAATTACATTGACAGCCACAAGATTCCAATATTGTCAGCGAATGTTTGTCTATCAGCCGCTTGAAACTTTCCTTGGATGGAACGTCTGCAATTTCTTCCGGTAGGCTGTTCCAATCATTCACCACTCTAGTGGATAGGGTGACGTCTATGCGAATTCTGTCTTCTTTGCTTAAACAGTTTTCATGTGTGACCTCGCGTGGAACAGTCAGTGTTGGGCCGGAAGAATTGCTGTAACTCACTCCCAAGTTCCCCTCGGAGGATGCGCTTAGTGTAGATGAGATCACCTCGGCGACGGCGGAGCTCGAGGGAAAACAGATTTAGCTGCTGGAGTCGAATGGGGTACGGGAGATCACGAAGCCCCAGAACAGCTTCGATGCACGTCTCTGAACCTTTTCCAGCAGAGTGCATTCAAGCTTTGAAAGCTGATGGCTAGCTGGAAGGCCATATTCTAAGACTGGATGGACGTACGAAGTGAACAAAGGTCGAAACATCTCAGGAGTCATTCGAGCGAACGATTTTTTAAGGCACACAATGAACACAAAGTCAGAAAATGTGTCTTCTCATCGGGAAGACGTAGAATCCGACGAAAATAATAAAATGATAACAGCTTGAGACAAAGCTACGAAACGCTAGTTCACTACAAAATGTTTCAAATGTAAAATCGAAGGCACTTTTAAATGTGGCGACGAAAAATTACGAGACTCGTGCACCCACAGTGTCCCGCGGCAAGAGGTTCGGCGACGGGCTTTTAGCCGTACAAATGCTAACATCAAAAAACAGTGAAAATATGCAAAAGAATAAAGTCCTAAAGTTATGTATGAAATCCATCGGTAGAATAGAATCGAAACATGCATGCGTACATCCTTTAATGGCACGAGTAACCGAAGGGCATGTGAATGGTGTCCGAAATTCGTCAGATGGGTGACCGAAAGCCGTACGAAAAGGTTAACTAGGAAACAAACTTTAGGCACCTTTAGGTCACTCGGATAAATGTTTTGGCAGCATGACCCTGCTCATTATATAGCACTAACCAAAAGTTCCCGTTTTGCTAATACGTCGACATCCCCAGTTAACGCGCTTAATGACGCCACGACAAACAATGTGATGTGCCTATTCGCCAAAAGCATAGTTTTATACGACAAGTTATTGCGTTTGTAACAAGGATAATGCAGTTGCTCTTGCGTGCCACCATTTATGCATCCAACGACGTTGTTTCTACACAATGGTGGCTTTGGTGCATCCAGCGAAGTCCGCAGGCAAAAAGAGCGCTACAAGTGAGGTAGTAAATGCTGGTACACAGTTTACCAATAACTGTTCCGGCAAAAGGTGTTCCGGCTACATCAAACTTGTCATGTATGCCCCGCCAATTGAGCTTCTAAACGCGGCTGTTGGTGATGCAAGATAATCAACCTAGTATAAGTGTTCAGACACAGGTTGCGTTACCATCTTCCCCATAAAAGCGGCTTCTGAAGCTCATTACATGCAAGCTTCGAGCTTTTTGTAGTGGGAAGGTGAATGGGCCGTTCACTTCGCTGTTCTCCAGCGCCATAAATGGCAACTGCCCGAAACTGCCCCGCCTTCGGGCACTTGAGTGACCAATGGTGCTAGCCGTGTACAGAGGGATTAATCACTACGTCCAATAAATGCTCGTCGGGCGAGAGTACTGCAGCACCAAGTTGACCTAGCAGCTGACGATCTACTCTAAAGTTTGCTTTCGCTTTATCGTTAATGCGAAAACCTGCATGATTGAACATATGTTTCTATCCTTTTATTCACTGAAACTTAGAGAACTGCAGAGGAACCCTGGTCAACTCCATCGATTCCGTATCATTGCAAGTTTGCTGCGTAACGTGGTCCTACGACCTTTATTCAATGTTCGTCGCTGTTGCAGTGACAGCCACAGGGTTTCAACATATCAGCAAATGGTTTGTTAACAGCCGCTTAAAGCTTTCCTCGGCTGGCGCGTTCGCAATTTCTTCCGGTTGGCCGTTTCAATCATCCATCACTCTAGAGCATATGGCGACATACATGCCAATTCTGTCTTCTTTACTTAAACAGCTTGCATGTTTGACATCGTGTGGAACAGTCAGTGTAATGCCGGAATAATTGTTATAACTCACTTCTTAGTTCAACGCTGGGGATGCGCCTGGTGTAGATTAGATCACCTCGGCGACGGCGGAACTCCAGATAGAACAGATTTAGCTGTTGGGTTCCACTGGGGAACGGGAGAGCACAAAGCCTCAGAAGAGCTTACGATGCAAGCCCCTTAACGTTTACAGCAGGACGCCTACAAACTTTGAAAGCGGAACGATAGCTACTAAATCCTATGCCAAACTTGTGCAGTCGCACGAAGTGAACATGGTCGACAAAGCACCGTATTTATTCGAATTAAAGCGCTTCTAACGGCGCCCAACAGCCTCCTTTCAGTACCCATCTTGCTAAAGGAGTGCTGCGATGTTTTAAGGTCAAAAGACACCATAACCCCGGGATCTATCGTGAGTTGTTTTCAGGAGGAGCAATCCACCAATGTGGTATGCACCGTACGGGTCAGTGCATCACACTGGGAGAACAGCGCATTTAGCTCTGTTTACTGGCATTTCCACTTGATAGACCCCTTGTGCAGCTGGGCTAGAGCCTCTGTAATTTGTCCGCATCCTCAAAGCTGGCTACTTTTGACCGTAGCCTGAGGTCATTGGCGCACGTCAAGCAGTCGCGTTGAAATGCAGTCGGCAGCTTGAGAACATAGAGTTTGTAGTACTCCAGCCCAAGCATGGATCTCTGGGTCAAAGACACAGGAGCTGAGAAAGTTTCGTTCCCATGTACGCATATTGCTCTACCTCTTAGGCAATCTTCAATTCAGGAGTAAAGCGTTCCTGTATCGCCAATTCTCTGAGCTTGGTGCAGCAGTCGTACGTGGGGAGCTTTAGTAACTGCTTTACAGAAGTCAAGGAATATTGCGTCTACCTGTTTTCGAACGTCTTGGTTGTTGCTCACGTTTCTCCAGCGATGGGTAAGTTAGAGATACTTGAGCATGCTCTCCGGAAGTTATGTTTGGCAAGATGGGTAACAGTGTAGTTGTAGGCCGCAAACGGCGGTTCGTTCCATGGTTTTGCATGCGACTAATGCCAGGCCCAATGGCCAGTAGTTCGCTGGGGCTTGATGGTTTTCCCTTTGTAGTTGAGCATAACATTACACGCATTTACGCCTGTGGATAGGCGGCCGACCTCAAATGTGAGCCGAAGCATTTGTCGGAGAGTGACTGCGATTTAGCCAGCTATCCTTTTGAGGTAAGGAGCTTACAATCGATTTGGGAGGACTTCAGCGCCAGTTCTATGAATAGCTTAGTGACAGCCTCGAGCTAAATCCAAATTGCTCTAGGAAGTAGCGGTGTGTTGGCAGGGACCAGATTTATGCTGTGCTCCTCCACGTCAAGCTATATGGAAAGCAGGTGTTTTGTGGGCTTGGTCGTTCAGTATCCTTTCAATTGGTCTCTTTGTCGAATACTGAAACATTTGGGATTAGTAAGTTGCGGTTGCGATCAGGCAGACAATTTCTTTCCATGGACGTTGGGTTTCGCAGACATTCCTTTTCTTTAACCACTTGTTCAAGCTGCGCTGCTTTGTGTAGGGCGAGCTTAAGCTCCGTGCTTTTGGTGTTTATTTTCAGTTTGGACGTTGAAGACAGCTTTTTGTGACAGGTTCAGCTGCGTTTATCCTTGCTATTTCTGAGGTGCGGGTGCGTGACTGTAGCATAATGCTGGGGCTTTCTTTGTGGCTTTCTCTGAGTTCTTCTCCATACAGTCGACGATTTGTCTTGGTTTAGACTCATCAGAAATTATGGCCGAGCTGGAAGTAAGGCTCTGCGCATAGGGCTAGGCGGCTAACGGTATGATCTGAAGGACAACGTGCTACGCCAGCTGTGCTTTACCCAATGGTTTTCGGGTTTTGGACCCCCTCTGTGCGTCTTTGATTGCGATACTCAGTCTCAGTCGCGGCACCGGTTGATGCTGAAGCCTCTGGCTTCCTCATAAGCGCGCGCTTTTTCTCAATGAGCGCCGGTGTTAAGGCCAACTTAGTGGCGGACGCCCGGCTGCCGTTTGCTTTCGATGTGGAATACCCAGGCCCGGTCAGACACACTGGAGAGCTAGGTGTTCCGCGTTACAGGTTAGAGGCAGCTTGCCGTGTAGGGGTGTGTATGCCGAAATGGTGTGGGAGCATCTGAATTTGTCCATCGTTGAGTATTGCTAGACACTGGTTGAAGCAATAGTAGATGGCTTTAGAGGTTGCGCCCTGAAGATCCTGGAAAAGATGCATATCAACGTTGCAGCAAAATATGCACCCTCGTCTCTCGCTGAGTGCTCAATGAGCCGTCCTCGAACACGCGAGTACCCGTTTCCCGCAGCCTAGTGTTTGGATGTAATCTAATTCGAGTGAAAACAATAGCAGTTAACTTCCTTCGATAGTTATTCAAACTCATTTCTTCTTGTTGTATGCACCTAAGAGCTTCGAAGGTATAACCTGCAAGAAAGTGGAGTTACCTTGTTACATGTGATAACTAATTTTACTAGCTCTATCAAATGCATTGAATTTGCCTCACAGGTGCTACATTTAATTATTAAATATTAATTCTGTACTAAATACTAGGTCTGTTATTGTTGAAGTAACTGTTACAAAAGTTAATAGTGTCGTAGTTAAACACGTCTTAAGGATCCACCTGAATGCTGCGCTGCAGCACATGGGGTAACACAAATGCAACTTAGGTAGGGGACAAATGTCTCATCGGCAGTAGCGATCAAGTAAATTAGCAGCTGGGAAATTAAGGGCTGCATTTACCTTTCGCAGGTTTGGTTACCTAGTAAATCTCAGTGTGGGGAATGCTTTGCTTTTGGCATTCGTTGCTTTAACGTCGCTCAGCCAAGTTAAAATGCGCACGGCTCTCCCGAACCCAGTCGAGTTGTCTGCATGCCGGACTGCCAGCTGTGCGGCCAAGGTTTGCATCCTGAGTGTGTTCACTTTTTACTCGCTCCATCGGTACATATACTAAGCTCGAAAGAGGCGTCAGCTTGCGGTGTCACCTGCGTTGGTATGATATACAACATTTAAATAAATAAAGAAATAAATATTGTATTTTCGACTATGCGAGGCACGCCCATTGAGGCAGGATCAGGTACGTACAAATGCACAGACATTTTGTAGCAACTGTAACAGTGACAGCAGTAAGTTGTTCATATGCCCATAATTGGAACTGTACAATGAAGGAAATTTGAAACAATAATTTGGCTGTCGTGGGACCGTGACCCGTTTGTTAGGACATTATTGGTCAGCCAGGTTTTTCATTCATACCTCGGCTAATAATAGAATGAGAATCCTGAACGTTCCACCGGATGATAATTGAAGAGCACTCTCGAGAGAGATATGACAATACAATGACTTCGTGCATAAGTAACGCAAAGGTCAACGGTGATATCGTAGAAGTAAAATGACGACAGTATATGCGTGAATTCGTAAAAAGGGGAGATGACCGTATATATAAATGTAGAAGTTCCAGTGTAACCAACCTATCCAGAATGATGGAGCTAGTAGACCTGTCAGCGTGAAGTTATGGGCTGTAAGTTTATTCGGTGGCGAGTCACACTCGCCACGTTGTAGTGTTGTTAAACGGACATTTGTGGCTTTTTATAGGAAGAACGCTTGCAAGGCGAAAACCCCCACTTCCTGAAACCCTGCCGCCAATCCATT